GAAATGAGTATACTACTGTCCTCAAATCAAATGAGCTTTTATTTATTAAGGAAGTATTTAGTGGAAGTAAACAATAAAATACCTCCACATCCCTACTACAGAAACCTCATTTTCTGCAGTTAAGAGGATTCCTTAAAAGTGTGCATTTTTGCATAAACATGCACTTAATATGGCTGGTATTAATTTCCACATATTACAGCCAATATGCCAATATAAGGGTTTGAACTCATTGCCTGTGTGCTGTCCCTGAACTACTTTGCTTAAGGCCTTACCACTTGAGCCACATCTCTACTACTTTGGGATTTCTGGTGATTAATTAGAGATAAGAGTCCCATGGAGTTTTCTGCCTAGGCTGCCTTCAAAGCTCAATCCTCAGAACTCAGGTTTCTAGGCGTGAACTACCTGGGCTTAGCAGCTTTAATATTTTTTATTTATATGTATCAGGTTATTTCTGGTACTTAAAATAATTTGTTTGGTGAGTTGGGAGATCATAATCTCAATGACTTCCTTGATAGTTCAGGTGTAAACCACAGGTGTCTGGCTGAATACTAAGTCCCAAGATCTTCTTGAATACTTCATAATGACCAACACTTTTCCATTTTGTAGGTTTCAGACATGTTTTGGGTTGTAAGGGAGGAACAAGCTGAGAAGGAGAAACAGGAATACTTGCTCAGAGTGCTAATGTGTCAGAGAAACTATTCAGTGAGGTGAACTGTGCTTTTATTTATTTATTTTTGGGTCAGGTTGTGGGGCCTGAACTCTGGGCCTGGACGCTGTCCCTCAGCTCTTCAGCTCAAGGCTAGTGCTCTACAACTTGAGCCACAGCACCACTTCCGGCTTTTTTCTTTTTGCTTATGTGGTGCTGAGGAATCGAACCCAGGGCCTCTGACATGCAAGGCAAGCGCTCTACCACTGAGCCAACTTCCCAGCCCCCACTCCTGGTTTTTCTAGTGGTTTACTGGAGATAAGAGTCTCATGGAGTTTCCTGCCTAGGCTGGCTTTGAACCATGATCTTTGGATCTTAGCCTCCTGAGTAGCTAGGATTACAGGCGTGAGCCACCATGCCCAGCTGGTTTTCAATTCTAAATCATTTAAATAATCTTACTAATATCTGTTTTTTGAGAATTTATCAAACAGTAAATGAGTTTCCTTGTTTGTGTGCCTGTTTTTCAGGGACCAATATGGGTCTTGTGTCCTGTTCCACTATGGCTCCTCTGAGATGATCTCCCTCATGAGAGCCAATGATTTTTCAAAAGGTCTCATAAGTTGGCAAGCGGTATTGGGGAGTCTGGGTATATTCAAATGACTGCATGAGTTTGTCCTGATTTATGCATAGCACTGATTTAATATTTCAGTTGAATGAAATGTTATCTTATTGCTTACTCCAAAGCAATATGTGCGTATATACATATATATAATACACACAAATGTAAATATGCATGTATATACACAAACATATATACATATGTATATACATACCTGTCTTTGAAAGAATTGCAGACATTTTATATTAGAATGATTTCAAACTGAAAGAAAGTTGAAATTGGTTAGGTTAATATTTCAAATCAAGGTGGCTCAGTGGTAGAATGCTTGCCTTGGCTGCATGAGCCTCTGGGTTCAATTCCTCAGCACCACATAAGCAGAAAAAGCCAGAAGTGGTGCTGTGGCTCAAGTGGTAGAGCACTAGCTTTGAACTGAAGAGCTGAGGGACAGCACCCAGGCCCAGAGTTCAGGCCCCACGGCCGACCAAAAATATTCAAATCAAGAAAGCAGATTTTTATTTTTTACATCACATTTCTCCTTAGTTCACAGTGAAAATTTCACTATCAGTAAAAGTGCATTTTGAATGCTGCTCACGTTTTGTCATTTTTAAATGATTTCATATATAGACATTATTATTATGTATGGTTGTGTGGTTCACTTTTTTTGAAACAATAATGCCCATGGTAAAATGGCTGGTGGCAGGTACTCAATGTGAACATTTTATGATGACCTCTCACCATGATGCTGAGATGATGCAGTCTTGCCTTCTACTCCAACTGTTACTCAGACCCAAGAGGCTCATCTTTCTTAATAGTTGGGACAGTCTCTGCTTCCTGTCTAAAGTCCTGAGAGAAGGGAAATCTGAGCTGTTGCTGTATAGGTATGTTCATACAGAGCTTCTGAATGCTTTTACACATGGACTTCTCAATCTGTATTCCTCACCATTTAAAAAGTTTTGCAATATCTTTACTTATGGTCAACTATACTACCTTCAACCTCTATAAGAAGTTGGTTCTATTTTTCTTAGCTTCTGTTTTGTGTGATTTTGCTCAGTATCTTTCTGTACCTGGTTATTTAGCTTAATATATTCTTTTTTGGGGGGGGGTCCAGTTGTGGGGCCTGGGCGCTGTCCCTCAGCTCTTTAGCTCAAGGCTAGCGTTCTACCACTTGAGCCACAGTGCCACTTCCTGCTTTTTCCTTTTTGCTTATATGGTGCTGAGGAATTGAACCCAGGGCCTTAGGCATGCAAGGCAAGAGCTCTACCACTGAGCCACCTTCCCAGCCCCAGCTTAATATATTCTTATCCACAGCCCTCCAAGATACTGCAAATGACTGCCTTCTTCTCATCACAAAGAAAAATATGTGTTCCAGTGTTGGATATGAAATCACTGCACAATGAAAACATGGCACATAAAATTGTACTTCAAAATACTGTCTTTACATACCTATGCAGCAGAAAGCATTGAGGATCAATTTTTGCCTTTGTTTTACCGTACCAAATGTCCAGAACAGTCCTACTTCTATCTACTTGTCTCTCTCATTCCATTGATTTCTGTAACCCTCTTCTAATTAACATTTTCCCCCATTTTTCATATTTCTAATTTTTTACATTACATCCAGAATTAAGTTTAAGAAAACCATATTTTTATTGTGTTTTGATACAATTATCTGAAGAAATCTGGGCCAAGGGGTAGTAGTGGTTGTAGAGAGATATCCATTCTGCTGAGAACTGCAATTTCAGCCTCCAGGCCCTTCACAGCATGCACTGGTGTTTTATTATAACTCACTCAGAATGTATAAGAGAGAATTAATCACAAGTGACTCCTCACTAGTGATTAATTAAATATTAAATAAGCATTGAAATTATTTTGGGGTTACTCATTCAAAATCAAATGCTTAAGACACTTGTCTTTATTTACCCACCTAAGAAACCAGAAGGGGAACTATGGCTCAAGTGGTATAGCATTAGCCTTGAACAAAAATGTTTAAGGAGAGTATGTAGGCTCCAAGTTCAAGCTGCAGGACTTGTACCCATACAAAAAGCAAATATATCCCCAGGGGCTGGGAAGGTAGCTCAGTAGTAGAGTGCTTGCCTTGCATGCATGAGGCCCTGGGTTCAATTCCTCAGCACCACATAAGCAAAAAGAAAAAAGCTGGAAGTGGTGCTGTGGCTTAAGTGGTAGAGCACTAGCCTTGAGCTGAAGAGCTGAGGGACAGCACCCAGGCCCAGAGTTCAGGCCCCACGACCGGACCCCCCAAAAAATATATATCCCCAAATATGTGTCCTTCCATGTTCTACGAATGTTTCATGAGCTAATTTGGGGACAAAAGACAATGAGACAGATTTTCCTACTGTGCACATTTTATAATAAACAAGAAGTAGTATCTTACATTCAAAAATGGAATTAGAAATAGTCATTTGTATTATACTTCAGGGTCTGCACATTTAATGGGTAACTTTAGGGGGACAGTGAAAAATATCAATGATTTCATGTCTTTGGCTCAAATCATGGCATTCTGTTTCTATCTATCACTCCCAAAACCACTTTGGAGATGACCTGAGTAGAGTCTCAAAGGTCTGGAGCTCTAATTTCTGAGATGAGTTTATATAGTTACCTTGATGAACCATTCCTTACTATGAAAGACACAAGTCAATTTCACTCTCTTCATTACTTGTCAAGCCTGGAAGTAATTAATGACCATCACTTGTGTTCAAGTCATTTGAATAATATTCAGGGACATCATCTTCACTCAACACAATGAAAGGATGTGAAGTATTGGTTCAGCAAGTACCCAAGTATAAAGAATTGTTTCCTATTACACCTGGCTTACCTCTGCCATGAAGGATTCCTCTGTATATATTTTTTTAAATTTAATTTAATTTTATTTGTGAACATACTGAACAGAGGGGTTACAATTACATGGGCAGGATAATGCGTACATTTCTTACCAAGCATTGCAGCCTCCTCCTTTGGTTTACCCTTCACATCCCTTCCCAGCTACCCCCCCCCCCCCCCCCCGCAATCTCAATCCTTCTCCTCCCCCCCCCCCCCCCTCCCTGCACCGACGTTGTAAAGCTCGTTTTGGACATGACAACTTGTACTTCTCATTGTTGCAACAGGTCCACCTGTATCCTTAAACAACTGGTTTTCCCTATCTCCTCCACAAGTTATACTGACATCAAATATAGTGAAAGCAGGGGTTATACTGTGGGGGAGGGACATACAAAGCAACAAAGAGATAATCTTATAAATGCGTTATCCTCTGTATATTTTACAGAGGTTTGTAACAAAGATTTTCCTACATTGGGTTTCTTTCCTTTGTGAGTGCTCCAATGCTTGTTGAAAGTTGTATTTTGGTTGAAAGACTTCTGATGTTTACATTTACAGAGATTCTGTCATGTCTCTTGGCCTCTAATACCTGTAATGTGACTTCTGCTTAAACATTTATCTACATCTATTATACTCAGATTGTCTCTCCTCTGTATGTTCTCAGATGCAGTGAGGACTGACTTCTGATTAAAAGTGATTGCACATTTGTTATATTCTTTTTTTACTATTTGAGTCAGTTCTCTGATGAACACTGAAGTATGCCTTCCAGGTGAAAGACTTTCCATATTTGTAATATGTACAAGTATTCTCTTCCTGTGTGTGTTCTGTGAACAGTGAGGCATGCCTACTTGGTGAAGGACTTTCCGCATTTGTTACATTCACAACATTTCTCTCCTGTGTGTGCTTTCTGATGTAAACTGAGGTATGATTTCTTGAAAACTTCCCACATTTGTTTCATTCATGTCTGTCCTGTAGGTTTTCAAGGCTGAACTCTGAGCTGTGCCTTCTAGGTGAAAGACTGCACATTTGCTGCATTCATAAGGCTTATAAAATGTGTACATTCTCTTATGCAAACTGAGTTTTCTTCCAGGTAAAAGACTATCCACATTTCTTATATCCCTAAGGTTTCTCATTTGTGTAAACCCAAATTTGTGAGTGGAGGTATGAATTCTGGGTAAAAGACTTTCCACATTTCTTACATTCATAAGGTTTTTCTCCTGTGTGTGTTCTCTGATGTATGTTGAAATCTGAATTCAAACTGAAGGACTTTTAACATTTGTTATATTTATACAGTTCATCATATGTGTGAATTCTATTATGCCTGCAGAGGTATGACCTCTGCTTGAAGGTCTTTCCACATTTGTTGCATTCATAAAGTTTCTCTTGGGCTGGGAAGGTGGCTTAGTGGTAGAGTGCTTGCCTAGCATGCATGAAGCCCTGGGTTCGATTCCTCAGTACCACAAAAACAGAAAAAGCCAGAAGTGGTGCTGTGGCTAAAGTGGTAGAGTGCTAGCCTTGAGCACAAGAAGCTCAAGCTTTGAGTTCAAGCCTAGGAATGACAAAACAAAAACAAAAACACTTTCTAGCTGGGCGCTGGTGGCTCACGCCTGTAATCCTAGCTACTCAGGAGGCTGAGATCTGAGGATCATGATTCAAAGCCAGCCTGGGCAGGAAAGTCCGTTAGACTCTTATCTCCAGTAAACCACTCAGAAAACCAGAAATGGCACTGTGGCTCTAGTGGAAGAGTACAAGCCTGGAGCTGCAAAGCTGAGGGACAGCACCCAGGCCCAGAGTTCAAGCCCCACGACTGACAAAAAAAAAGTTTCTCTCCTGTGTGTGTTTTCTGATGCCACTTGAGGTATGACTTCTGTCTAAAAAAATTTCCACATCTTACTTTAATAAGGTTTCTCTCCTGTGTGTGTTCTCTGATGCACAGTGAGCTTTAATTTCTGTCTGAAAGAACTTCCACATTTGTTACATTCATAAGGTTTCTCTCCTGTGTGAACTATCTTATGTTTGTTGAAATCTGATTTCCAGGTGAAGGACTTTCCACATTTGTTACATTCATAAGGTTTCTCACCTGTGTGAATTCTATTATGCCTGCAGAGGTTTGCCTCTGCCTGAAGGTCTTCCCACATTTGTTGCATTCATAAGGTTTTATTCCTGTGTAATGTAAAGTGAGCTCTGATTTCTGTCTGAAAGACCTTCCACATTTGTTATATTCATAGGATTTCTCTCCTTTGTGAATTACGTCTGTTGAAATCTGATTTCCAGGTGAAGGACTTTCCACATTTGTTACATTCATAAGGTTTCTCACCTGTGTGAATTCTCTTATGGCGGCTGAGGTTTGAAGTCTTAGTGAAGGACTTTCCACATTTCTTACATTCATGTTTCTCTCCTGAATGTATTCTCTGATGCAAAGTGAACTTGGGCTTCAGTCTGAAAGACTTTCCACATTTATTGCATTCATAAAGCTTCTTTTCTATGTCAGTTATCTGATGGCTGCTGAGAACTGACTTCTGGGTGGAAAATTTCCTGCATTTCTCATATGCATAGGGGTTCTCTTATGGTGGTGTTTGAAGTGGGAATGTCAAGTCTGACTTCTGAGAGATCGATTTTGCACATTTGTTATACTCATCAGACTTTTTCTGATATTTGCTCTGAGGTTTTGTAAGGTATATTACATTCACTACATGCAAAAAGATTCTGTCCTGTATGCATTTTCTGATGTGTAGTGGGTGTAGGTCTTTTTTTGGCAGGGGGGGGGGGTTGTTGGGTCAGGTCAAGGGGCCTGAACTCTGGGCCTGGCTGTTGTCCCTTGAGCCACAAGGCCACTTCCGGATTTTTTTTCTTTTTGCTTATGTGGTGCTGAGGAATCGAACCCAGGGCCTCAGGCATGCAAGGCAAGTGCTCTACCACTGAGCCACCTTCCCAGCCCAAGTGCATGTCTTAAGTAGAATGTTTTTCCATATACAGTACATTCAGCTGTTTTTCTTCCTTCCTGAAGGAGAGCAGATTTATCATAGTCCTCCCGATATTAATTATAGTCATTGAGCCAGGCGCTGGTGGCTCACGCTTATAATCCTAGCTACTCAAGAGGCTGAGATCTGAGGATCTCGGTTCAAAGCCAGCCCAGGCAGGAAAGTTCGTGAGACTCTTATCTCCAATAAACCACTAGAAAACCAGAAGTGGTGCTGTGGCTCATGCGGTAGAGCGCTCGCCTTGAGCTGAAGATCACAAGGACAGCCCCCAAGCCCAGAGTTCAAGCCCCATGACCGACAAAAAAAAAAAAAAAAAAAGAATGCCGGGCGCTGGTGGCTCATGCCTGTAATCCTAGCTACTCAGGAGGCTGAGATCTGAGGATCGTGGTTCAAAGCCAGCCCGGGCAGGAGAGACCCTGAGACTCCTATCTCCAATAAACCACCAGAAAACCGGAAGTGGCGCTGTAGCTCAAGTGGTAGAGCGCTCGCCTTGAGCTGAAGAGCTGAGGGACAACGCCAAGGCCCAGAGTTCAAGCCCCACGACCGACAAAAAAAAAAAAAAAATTAAAAAAAAAAAAAAAAAAGAATATAGTCACTGAGTTTAATATCGTCCCCTCACCATCATATTCTAAATACTACAGTTCATTTGGATTTTCATAATTTCGACTAAAATGCTCTGAATATCTGATGGATTTGTTCAACTATAGGAGACACGCCGGATGTATATATAGCATGCATCTTATCAGGCTCACTATAGGGAAGCATGTTCGAGCCATTGCTGGCTTCAAACCAAAATATTCAGATTTCAGCCTCTTGCATAGCTAGGATTATAGGCATGAACCACTGCACCCAGTGCCAGGTTTGGATTATAAATACCCATGTTCAACAAGTGTTTCCAGATCATGCTTAATAGAGTTATATACATCTATTCTAGATTGTATATCCACCTACAATAATCACCTCAAGTTTCAGAAGATGGTCTCCTGTTAGTGCAGCATAGTTTAGATCTTTAGGCAAACTGCTGATTTGGCTTCTTAAAGAATAAGAATAGGGCTGGGAAGGTGGCTTAGTAGTAGAGTGCTTACCTTGCATGCATGAGGCCCTGGGTTCGATTCCTCAGCACCATATAAGCAGAAAAAGCTGGAAGTGGCACTATGGCTCAAGTGGTATAGCACTAGACTTGAGCTGAAGAGTTGAGGGACAGTGCCCAGGCCCACGACTGACAAAAAAAAAAAAAAAAAAAAAGAATGAGAATAAACTATCCTGAGGAGTTATATGATCAAGTTGAAGTTTTCCTCATAAAAAAAGGACACTTTTCAAGTGTCTTATGCCTAAATAGCATTACAAGTTTGGTAAATATTCACATATCTCCTAAACACAAATAACTTGACATTACAAATTAATGTGACTTTTGCTCACCCAAGAACACCAGGTTGGTGTAGGTCTCCAGCATTACATCTCTATACAGGGTCTTCTGAGAAATATCCAGGTCCTGCCTCTCCTCCCAGCCAAAGTCCACAGCCACAGCACCAAATGACACCAGCTTCTGTAAGGCACATTTCCATTAAGCAATTAGGCCCTGAGCCATGAGAACACTAAGTCTGGAAATTCATTTTTCTACATGCAGAATTTGTTTTACATAAAATGTTTGGAGCTTGCTGTGTTATTTACAGAGTGGTAGAAACAAAAATCAAAGTAGAAATATTTTCTCTAGGGCTGGGAAGGTGGCTCAGTGGCAGAGCGCTTGCCCTACATGCATGAGGCCCTGGGTTCGATTACTCAGCACCACATAAGCAAAAAGAAAAAAGCCGGAAGTGGCGCTGTGGCTCAAGTGGTAGAGCACTAGCCTTGAGCTAAAGAGCTGAGGGACAGCACCCAGGCCCAGAGTTCAGGCCCCACGACTGGACCCCCCCCCCAAAAAAGAAATATTTTCTCTATATTAACTTGGTCATTATTGATAGTTTCCCTAATACATCAGACACATTTCTCGTACTAGCAATAGAGAGAAGATAACAATTCAAAGAAGCGAATTATCTGGCATGACAACATTAAGTCTAAGTAGGTGTCTGAAAGAGTGTGTTTAGCTTATTTTGATAAAATTATCAGGGTAAAAATGAAGGAAACGAACAATTTTTCCTGCAGTTTCATATTCTGGCTTACTGAAAAGCCTATTCAGATCTTATATTAAAAATGGTATCATAAGAAATTCATGCAATATATTCCCCATTTTGTCCACCTACAAAAAGCATAGTGTCCAGGTGAATTTGGAAGGAAATAATAGTACTCAAGAAAATAGCTAATGAGGGCTAGGAAGGTGGCTCAGTGGTAGAGTGCTTACCTTGCATGCTTGAGGCCCTGGGTTCGATTCCTCAGTACCACATAAGCAGAAAAAAAAAGCCAAAAGTGGTGCTGTGCTCAAGTGGTAGAGTGCTAGCTCTGAGCTAAAGAGCTGAGAGACAGGGCCCAGACCCAGAGTTCAGGCCCCCATGACCAGACCCCCCCCCACCAAAAAAAAAGAAAGTAGCTAATGATTCACTTGGTACTTATAAGATTTGACTTAGCTCCCACAATAAAAATATCCCATGTTAATCATGTTTTTGTTATTAAATTTCTAAAGATTGAAGTGTGGACAAAGATACCGTGATACTTTCTTCATAAGTAAACAAAGAAGTCTCGTGAACTTTTTTGAATATCACCTATCTTGTACAATACAGGATGTAGGTCAGAGTGGAATAAAGTATTTCTTGACCAGATTTGCATTTTAATAGGTTTTCATAGAAGGATGGAGGTAAATAGATATGGTCTGAAAAAACACTCACAATACCAAAAAAAGAAGAAAGAAAAAGTGAAATATGACCTCCACAAGCAGGACGGAGAAAAACAAGAATAAAGAAGGATGAAGCCGGGCAGCGGTGGCTCACGCCTGTAATCCTAGCTACTCAGAAGGCTGAGATCTGAGGATCATAGTTCAAAGCCAGCCCAGCCTGGAAAGTCTGTGAGACTCTTATCTCCAATTAACTACTCAGAAAACTGAAATGGCACTATGGCTCAAGTGGTAGAGTGCTAGCCTTGAGCTGAAGGACAGCATTCAGGCCGAGTTCAATCCCCATGACCAAAAAAAGAAAGAAAGAAAGAAAAAAAAAAAGGATGTGATCTAAAAAAATAGAACAAAAAAATTTTTTGGGGTGGGGAGTCCAGTCAGGGGCCTGAACTCTGGGCCTGGGTGCTGTCCCTCAGGTCTTCAGCTCAAGGCTAGCACTCTACCACTTGAGCCACAACGCCACTTAGAACAAATTTTTAAAAGTTAGAATGATATATGGTACCAATTTGTTATGCAGAGGCTAGAAGGAGAGAGTTTCAACTCCCAAATGGAACCCCAGTACAAATGAAGAATGGTTAACAATTACCCCAATGTGGCTATGTTTGACAGTACCAGAGGTGAATGCTGAATAAAACACAAAAAAGAAAATATATCTGTAAAGTGTTGAAAGAAAATAAACTTCAATTCACAATACATTGGTCAGAGGAGCTTTTTTTAAAAATGTAGATTGAAGATATTTTCAGGCAAAGAATTCATTAATAACACATCTGCATTTTAAGAGTGTTATAAGGTATTATCCTGCTTCAAGGGAATAACAAAAGATGCCAACATAGATATACACAAGGTCATTAAAATGGTAAATGGGTAGATAAGTATGAAAAAATATATAGAACTTCTATTTTATGTAATTTCTCTAAAATGATTTGTGGGAGGAAAACATATAGCACCACATTAATGATTCCTAATGTATGAAGATTTAATATGTAAACAGAGAGTGTATTATGAATAAAGTAGGTGGACTGGGCATATGGATCAATTAATATTGTTCTTGCCGGGGCTGGGAAGGTGGCTCAGTGGTACAGCGCTTGCCTTGCATGCCTGAGGCCCTGGGTTCGATTCCTCAGCACCACATAAGAAAAAAGAAAAAAGCCGGAAGTGGCACTGTGACTCAAGTGGTAGAACGCTAGCCTTAAGTTGAAGAGCTGAAGAGCTGAGGGACAACGCCCAGGCCCAGAGTTCAGGCCCCACAACCGGATCCAAAAAAAAAAAAAAATATTATTCTTGCCTGGCAAATATGAGGGCCTGACTTCAAAGAATTAATTCCATCAAAAAAATTAAAAGAGCAACATTTAGATTATAAATGGAATTATTCCATTGAATAGAAACTATATTATATCGTGTTGCATGCTGGTACTGTGAAAATATTGTAAACTCTTAGAATATCTAGTAATAATACAATCAAGTACATCCAGCATGTTAATTTTCTATGTCTGCCATAACCAAGTATCAGATTGGGTGAGAAACTTATTTTCTAGTAGTTCTATAGTATAACAATGATTTTTGTGCATGTTTTACTTCTTCTGAAGCTCTATG